TTTCATGTGAAATTTAAAAATTTTCTGATGCATAAAAGTATTTTTAATCTTTGCATGATAGATAGACAAGATGTGAAAAGAAAAAAAAGGAATGAAAGAAACATTGCTTTACAAACTTTATGACTTAATACAAAAATTAGATAATTTGCGTATGAAAGTATTGTAATGTTTACTGATAATCTGCCAAATTTCGTTGGCATTTGCTTACTAATTTAAAAGTTATAACATGAAAACTATAACAAGCACAAAATAGTTATGAGGTTGTCACATTGACCGACCCCATATTGAAAGAGTTGATACTAATTTTATTTATAATTCATAGACAAACCTTTACTTCCTTCACTTTTGTATTTCGATTATATATATTTAAACTTGATGCTGCAATTTATCAATTACATCAAGAAATGATGTCTGAAAGGGTGGAGTTTGCTACTGTTGTGTATCTGTCAATCACAGTATTTCAAATTTAAAACAAATGTGAACAAAACATGTATCTATTATTTTCATAGGTACATAGGTGTTCATACTTCGTTTTGAACAGTTGTTCATAGTTTTCCTTTAATGCATATGAGTTTGAAATTAATAGATTCTATTGGGACTACATCTTACCTTGCCTGGACACAGGTTTCACACAGCCTCAGATTAACAGATGAAGTGATAATTTTATATCAATCACTGATATTTTGTCAACATTGTTCCATTTAGAGGGTTACATGGTGTGAAAGGTCAATTTACAGGTACAATTTATAATATTTTTTCATGAATAATTAGCTACGTATTTGAACTTGCAGTGTAAATCTACTAATTTTTGACAGTGGCTAGGTGGTTAGGGTGCTTGACTCGCAATCTGGGAGTCGTGGGTTTAAATCCCCATCCCACCAAACATGCTTACTCATTCAGCTATGGGAGCATTATAAAGTGATGGTCAATCCCACTATTCGTTGGTAAAAGAGTAGCCCAAGAGTTGGCAGTGGGTGGTGATGACTAACTGCCTTCTCTGTTGTCTTTCACTGCTAAGTTAGGGATGGCTAGCACAGATAACCCTGCTTAGTTTGCACAGTGTTCAAAACAAATCCTTTGGGCCCATTTCTTTTAGCTTCCCCGCAAACATATTTCGAGCCATGTCATATTCGAAGCACCTCAGTTTCTATATATCTACCTTCAGTAAAATCTGGGACTAGTCATTCTTATTTCTATGACCTTCTTTGGATGTTCTTATTTCCCTAGATTGGGCTCACATGAGGTTTCTTCAGGGAGCTTTGTGGGACCTGTGAAACCTCATTTGGGATCACTTGGATACTCCTGTACATCTCTTTTTTTTTTTCATTTATACAGACTTTGACTTATGGCTGGACAGAAGCAATACCACAGCAGGTATCTATCTTCCTATGCCTCATCCACATGTACCCCTGTTCTTGGGTGATTCTCTTTCGGGTTGGAATTCATGTATGGATGCTCAGGTGATTTCTGACATTTGGTCTGTAGTCAAGTCTCAATATCAATCTCTTGAAACTCCTCACTGTCCATTGGGCTCTGATTCATTTCCAACCAGCTCTGCAGAACATGTTGGTTATGATCCATTCCGACAACTTGTTGGTTGTTTCTTCCATCACTCAGCTCAGGAGCACATGTTTGTGATCTCTTTGTTTCACGTGTTAGATCTCATGTTCTGGGCCCACAGTGTCAGATTAATTTGTTGGCTTGTCATATTCCAGGTGCTCTGAATATTGTCATGGATCATCTGTCACGTTCTTACAAGTTTCTCCCCACATCATTGTCCCTCAACCCACAGGTATTCAGCTGGCTTTGTTCACAGTGGAGTACTCAGGAGCTAGATGCCTTTGCTACCCACCTTAATTCTATACTTTGCTGGTTTTAGTCTCCAGTTCCACAACCTTTGGCTGTGGTTGTCATTGCTCTCAGTCAGGAGTAGATGAACCTTTCCCTCTCTGCCTATATCCCCATTTGTCTCCTCCCTTGTGTCCTGTCCACTTTCCCAATCACTCTGTGTTGAGTACTCTTAGGAGTACCACTTTGACCAGCTCCACCATGGTACTCATTATTGCTTCCCCTTTGCTTGTTGTATCTCTTACCAACCCTCCACCTACTTCATTCCAGCATGCTGCATCCTTCTGTTTCCACATTTCCACTTCACACGAGCCTTTTATCCAGTCCCTTACCAGATGGTCCAAACTTTCCCTGTGGGCTGCTTCCCTAATTTTCCATTACATCTGCTCCTCCTCCATGTCACAGGGACTTCTTACATCATTGGTCATTCTGGTATTGTTTTACCCCCATTCTGTCCTTATGTACCACACCTGACTACCTTTCTTGCTTAACTTTTTGACAGGGGGTTTTCTGTATCCATAATTTCTGGATACTGAACTGCCTTGTTCATCACTTTTTGTTGTTCATGATGTTGCCAGGTTTTTGCTTCTCCCATCCTCACCCTTTTATTTCATTCCTTCTGTCTTTGTCATCTGCATCACCCTACTACCCTACCTGATTGAAACACTCACATGGTCCTTCATGTCCTTACATCTTTCCTCTTTGAGCCCTTGTCTTCCTTATATCATCTCTCCTACAAGACCCTTTTCCTCCTCCCCCTTGGCTTGTGGATGTCGTGTTCAGACATGTTTCCTCTTGATTTCACTCATACCTTTTATCACTTTACCTCTGTTCTTCTCTTCTGCATCAGTCTTTCTTACCCCAGACATTGGCCACACATGAGGGCAATTTTGCCTTCACTCCCATTTCTCTTCCTTACATCACCTATCTTTATTCTCTTTCTGATTCAGGTTTTCTTTTGTGTCTGCCAGGGTTCTTGAATTGGTACATTCATTTGCACACCCCATGGTTTTCCTCTAGGTGCTTTCTAAAGGCAGATTATCTGACAACTCGGTGTAAGATTCTAGCTAGTTGTGAGAGGAGGTCAGAAACTGTATTGGAAGTTGACATTATCCAACACTGAAAATGCATTTCTGATAGATACTTACCTCCCTCTCACATTTCCCACCTGAGCTCCCCATTCCTGAGGATGGTTTTGTAGGTATTGCCCAATCTTAAAGTGATTAAGGGCTGCTCAGTAGAGAGGGTACTAGTTAAAATAGAAGTTGTGTTGCACTCCTATTGGTGGAGGGTCGCTGCATGATCATTTGCATGATATCATACAGATGTCTCACATGAATACATGAGAGGGTAGATGGGAGTATCAAGACTAGTGGCAAGCAAAAACTTGTGCATATTGAGGGAAGTATAACTGAGATAAGCTATTTCTGAGAGAAGGTAAGCATCTATTGGAAATACATTTTCAATGTAAACTTTGTTTCAGATCCTAAATTTCAGACATTTTGATTTATTTTTCTTCAAATTTTGGTATTTTAAATGTCTTGTTTGATTTTTTTTTTCTTTATACTAGACTTTTTCGTGCAGATAGCCTTGTTGCTTTGCACCATGAAACCCCAACAATCAAGCAATGGCTATCTAGTTTTGGACCATAACATTATAGATACAGCTTTTATTAAACTTCAGTACTGTAAAACTTTCTATGATGATTCCAGTATTTCCCTTATCAGTAGCCTTAATAACTAATCTAAAAATCATATTTAAACCTTTGCATAAGATTACCTATTCTTTTATTGATGATTTAGGCTGAGTCTTCATAAGGAACAAGGTTGAAGAGGGCAGCAACTGCCTAGTTCAGTGACACTTGAGGAGAAAAGCTTACAAGACTAATCATTAAAAGCAGCTTGGGTAGAAAGAATGATATTTCAGAAAACCTCTCTGACCTAAAGACAACAAAACAGAAGTCTTTCAAAATGTAATTTTTTTCAAGGACCAAGACAATTGTTGCCCTTTTCAACTTTGTTCTTCTTATTACCTTATTTGAACGAAGTATTAAAAAAAGACCCAAAACAAGATGTATATGAGCATCACACGTGGATGTGGTAAGACACATATTGGACAAACCTTAAACTATTGGGAAATCAATACACAAAAAACACCAAAGTCATGTGCCTGGAAGAGAATTTGAAAAATTTGTCCTAAAATGGTATCAATTATCAATTTGAATATGGTCATAGGATAATTTGGGAACATTTTTCTCTCCTACATCAACCCGACCCTCCAAAAAAAAAGGAGCATTATTGTTTAAATACTATTGAAATTATAAAAGCAGGTGATTTAGCCTTAAACCATGACAGTGGTGCAGATAATATTAGCAAACTTTTACTAAGTTTATTTTCTTAGAATTTTTTTTCCAAGCTTGACCCGTCTTGACAATTTCCTTAAGTTCGAAACATAGCTTGCAAAATTTCAAAGCTCTCACACAACAATATTCCTTTGATCTATTAATCTAATTTCCTATACATTATTTGTAAATACGTCTTGTATTTCTACACATAACTTATTTATAAATCTTGCATTCTCACATGTCATTTATATGTTTATTTTTTGTCATATCTGATGAAGGCAGACCAAGATACTATTGAAATATATACATCTCTACAACAAATATCATTTGCTTACTAATCATTCTTTGTTAATATACAATTGTGTTAGTGTAATGATATTGTCAAATATGGTTAAATAGTGTTTTTCACAGAGTACTTGTTAATTGCATAGTAAATGTAGTAAAAAATAATCATTGTTAATTAGTGTGTTCCTGACACTTTTTATTTATTTATGATACAGTAATTACTGAGTGGATTTATTACTTAATATATTTATTATGGGCAATGGTTTTTTATTGTATTTAGAAAAATAATATTGATGAATGCTATGTTCCTATCAGATATTGTATTTTTTAACTGTTTCCATTTGGGGTAAAATACTTTAGCTAAGTAGTGAATTTGGGACAGATATTGTCATTTTTTTATCTTGTTAAAGGTACAATAACCTTTTATTTTTGAGTTTGTTTCTTATAAAAACTGAACTCTTTAGGTTTATGAAGAATTAAATACTTTTGTTAATGAATTTTGTACTTGTTCATTATGCTTCAGGTACAGTGTGATATTTCGTTTTCTTCTTGCCATACGGAGAGCACAGTTGGAGCTTCATCAGTGCTGGGCCATTCAAATGTTGAATAAGGATGTTGGTCGAGACTCTATCAATACACCCTTATGGCAGCTCCGAACACACATGGCTTTTCTTATTGACAACCTTCAGTACTACTTGCAGGTGAGTCAGACAAATAAGCATTCATCAAGAAAGACTTATAAACTGCTTAGAATAAATTATGTGCAATTGTTTCTTTTTATTGTAGTTTTGCATTTGGTGTAAATATAATTGTTGTTTCTGGGTTAGTCATTGATATATGTGATGCCTTGTTTTTTTATTCTTATTGTACCTTTAGTAATCTTGACAGATGAAATATTAATGAGATTGAAATACATTACATTCATTATAAATATATAACATGACCATGAACTCCATAGAATCTTACCAGTTACTTTATTTACTCAGTGTTTTGGCTTTACCCCTTCATCAAGAGCATATAATTTTGTAATGAACTGTATCATTACAGAAATTGTATGCTTTCAATGAAGGCATAAAGCTGAAATGTTGAGTAAACATAGTAACTACTAAGATTCTGTGGAGTTCGTGGTCATTTTATTTATTTGTAATTATGTATACTATGCTCCAATTAACACAAGTTAAAAAATATATTACATTTATACCAAAATTCCCAAACAACATATAATAACATGATGTTTGGGGGTTGAATGTTTCTTTTAGCATAACACAAGTCCATAAATAATTAGAATAAAATATAATATTTATGTCAAGTTTGGATTTAATGTAAAAGTATACTGTATTGGCAAAGGTCAAGTCCATCTTGAGAAAGCATTCATTTTTACCTTCGTGTCTTAACATACTATATGGTAGATAAAAAATTGGGGCAGCTGTGTATCTAACAAACCAGTCATTGATTACATGACTGCCCAAAAATATGTTTCATACACTAGAAATGATCTTGACAAACCCACAGGTAATACTTTTTACACAGCTACTATGTCTTTTATTCATAGTTTAAGCCATACCACTAGGGCTGAAAGCAAATTACTAGGAAAACATGCTATTTGTTTGAGTAAAATCAGCCTTTCTTTGTATAAATAATAAGTTATTTTCATTTAAATTTCATTTAATTTTCAGTTAACCCTTTGTATCTGGGCCTGGCTCTTTTGTGCATGACATAACCTTTTAGTGTTTTATTAAAAATTGAATTAAACAACTTTTTTATCAGTATATATATCCATAAACTTCACATGAATATATAGTTTGTCATTCAAATTTACAAATTATCTAAGTTTTAACTTCTTAAATGTTTAGAAATTCACAATTTTCATTTTTCTGTATCACATGACATGTCTGAGCTCTGATTTTTTTTCCTTTCAAAATTTTGTAACATCATAAATAGGCTGCTATAGTTTCCAACAAATTAGAAATATAAACTTTACATAATTACAAGCAAGAATCAAAAACATTAGCTTCCTACTTTCTTGATATACTAAGGTATCATTAAATTTCTAAAAACTACCAGAGGAGCCCCTTTTCATCTCTCTAACTTTTAAAATTTTCTTGTTCATATCTCAGTTTCTCTTCAACATAAATATTATAAGCCATTGTTTAGTTTCCCAGTCTATACTGTTATTCAGCAGAATTGTATGATTTGTGGTGATCATATTTTGCTATTCTAAGTTCTAAAGGTATTGTTTTAACCTATTTATGGGTAACTTAGAAAGCCAGATAAATTATTATGTTTTTGGAATGTTTTATTCTAGTCAATGATATATTGTTAGTGCCCTAAAATCCATATTTGAAAGGTACACAAATTCTTTTTAAATGCCAAAATTTGTGAGACTCAGTAAGGCTTAGGGAAGAATGTTTACAGGAGTGCAAACTTCCTCAAGTATACAGTTAGTACTACAAATCCTTGTTTTTTATGTATATTTTTATTATTATTATATATTTTTTTTAAAGTAACTTAAATATAAAATTTAAAGTAGAACCTCTACAGTGTTACAACATTTGTGAGTGAGCTCAAATGATCTCTGTTGAGAGGTGGTCTTATTGCAGAAACTGGAAACTTATCACCTCATAAACACAACTTCCATTTTCCCACATTGGCACCACTTGCATGTACATTCTTTCCATCTCATGATGTCACTAAGTCATCTTTTTAGAGCCTCTTTACTTCCCATTTGTTATATTCTATGTATGTATCTATATATATATTGTGAATAAACAAAAAAGCACATTTGTATTCTCATTAATCTTTATTGTGTTTTATTTCATATGTACATGTAAATCTTCATTGAAAACTGGAGGCATGCATAAACATATACAATGTACAGTGCACAAAATTTTAAAGGCAATTGTTCTTACATTACATATATACATGTTCACAGTTTGGGTTTTGGTAGAAAATATAGTCTTGCAAAGATCCTTCAATAATTGCCAGTTGTACACTGGTAGCATAGTGATAGCTTAACAAGACAAAAATGTTACTAAATTTCACAGACCTGTTTATATACTCACCATGATCTATTCAACCAGGAATTCTGATACGATATCTTACCTCCACTCACAAAAAACTTTCTTCACTTGTACTGCCCTCTGTCGGTGCAAATGTTTGCTTGCCAGTAGCCTTTGTTAGTCCCACTTATTACTTCATACTAACATGCAAATGATCATGCAGCAACCCTCCACCAATAGGAATACAAAACTACTACTATCGTAACTAGCACCCTATCTAATCATGCACATGTTAAACACTTCTCAAATGGCTGTTCTACTGATTAGATGTTTTTTGCTCGCAGTTTAATTAACCTCCCCATACATTTTTACTTTCATGAATTTCTTTTTCAGTTAATTCCGTATTTTACTCTTTTGTTCTGTTTCTGGGAGAGTTACAATTTATCTTCTCTCCTCTTTCAATTTTGGGAGTTATGAACTCACAAGTGAACAGGACTACAACTGCCCTTACTGTGGCAGTGAAATTCCCGACCACATTTAACGGGTCAACACCATGATTCTTGGCTCATGAAGTGATGGCTCTGGTCATTTGGGAGTTGACCACTTTCTTGCTACAATCAGAACACTGATGATTGTCCTAACAAGGTTTTCAGTGTTCTTTTCATTTTGGATTTGGACAGCCTTTTCCCCCTTCTCCTGAATGTGCCTCTTAGTCACTTGTCATTTCAGGGGACTTCTCCAGACCTTTTCCCTTTTGGTGGATTTGTTATTCAAATATGTTATGTTCTGTACTTATCTCTCATTTCCTATGTTTCACCCCTGCTGCTCTAAAATGTTTCAATTCCACCACCTCCTTTGTCAGGTCAGGGCTTTCCGAGGGTATATGACACATACTGTTGCCTTCCATGGTTCCGAAGTCCATGTGCTTCTTCCGTGAAATGCTCACCTCTACCATGACCTTTTCACATCACCATTCTGGGTTGAATTTGCAAGTTCATTTGCCTGGCATTTTCTTCCATATTTTCTTCCCATCAGATCCATCACCTTACCATATCCCTGACTGCACATTTCCATCTTCCCTTGGGGGACATTATCAGTGCTGTAACTATTTATCTGTGGTGATAAGTACTTCATTCATTTTTCTTTTCCTTTGAAGGGGCCTTCAGTATTGCATATTTTAATCCCACTCTCTGGTGAATGTAGCCTGACCAGGTATACTTAGTCTTTAATTTGCACTATAGGACCTGTGAATATGCTAGATGACTATGACGTTGAGACTCTTCCCACCACAGACCTGATGTACCATTCCAGATGCTGCCAGGTGTTGGTTGATCCACTCCATTCAATATGTCCTCAATGCATGGATATAAAATGTAGAAAAAGAGACAAAATAACATGTCACAAGGTCATTTTACACCCACCGTTGAGATGGGGTGTTCTGCTGGGCTGTTCGCACGTGTACCTTACAGCCTTTTGCTTCATAAATATGTTAGTCCCATATCATACTATCCTGAACTAACATGAGTAAAGCAGACAGGGATTGCTGCTCATCTCTGATGATCCATGGCATTTGACACTTGTCCTACTACAGACTTGATGTACAATTCCAGACGTTCATCCAGGTGTTGGATGATGCACCCATCAACATGATCACTCTGCTTTTCAGTATAGGGTCACCCATTGCACTGTCTCTGGTGGTGTGGTCCTCTGGACTATCCAATGCATTATTTCTCTCCTTCTTTTAGTGGGTGTGGGAATCCTTGCCACTTACCATTTCCTAGCCACTGGGGTAATGGACCATGGAGGCCTGTCCTCTTGAGTGTGCACAATACTACTCAGTTTGAGAGTAGGGTGGTAACATTCTGTGGGTGTCAATGATGTGATACCCGTCCTACCATGAACCTGATGTACAATTCCAGATGCCGCCAGGTGTTGGATGTAGCACTCTGCCTTATATATATATATAAACTAAAAAAAAATGCAGCTTGCGCTTCTGGCTGAGACATTCTCCTTCCTACTATCCTCCATATGTTAGTTCCAGAGGATCAGGTGTTGGTTGGAGATGGTTTAGCCACATAAGTTTTAACATGTGTTTGGCTGTACCCTCTTACCACAGACTGGATAATAAATTCCCCAATTCTGCAAGGTGTTTGTCTGAAAATGTAACCCAAAATTGCAGTCCCTCTTCCTACCATCTGCTGGACGTCAGTTCTCATGAATCTGGTGTTGGCTGTAGCTGAACGAGACACATGATGTCCCACTTGTGTAAGTCTGGGTACCCTCCTCATAGCACAAACTGGATGACCAAATTCACAATGCTACCAGGTTTCGAACCATAGATGAATACCCACGTGAGCTCTCCTCATTCTTACCATCTGCTGGATGTTGGTTTCCAGTGGATCTGGTGTTGGTTGTGTTGGAGGTGCACACATGTGGAGATAGGTTTTTGGTACAGGAGCTTCTCTTCCCTGCCAGTACCCATTTTTGAGGTAAAAGGTAGAGGACCCTCTTACCACAGACCTGATGTACAATTCCAGATGTCGCCAGGTGTTGGTTGAGGTTAAACTCCCATTTACAGTCTATCACACCCTAGCTACTTTACACCAGGGGCTTCCATTATTTCTGTATTTTTTGGACACCCCTCCAAGTTCCCACTCTTTACATTTTGGCAACACACTACTAAAGGGCAAAGAGTATACCTGGATCAGAAGTGGTGCAGTCTCCCACTGGTTTATTAATTTTAATTCCTTATCACACCTCATAGTCTTCCTTTGGGCACTTCCTAATGGGGGGGGGGGGTCATCTTCTCACTAGCCCTCAACTAATTCAGTGTGTGTGATTCTAGCTATTTGTGAGAGGAGGTAAGATATTGTATCAGAAGTTAACATTTTCCTAAACTGAAAATGCATTTCCCATAGATACTTACCTCCTCTCACATTTCCCACCCATCCTTCTCACTCCTGGTGTGAACTGGTTTGGTTATTTATGACCAATCTCAAAGTGATTAACGTGTATGTGAGGGTGCTAGTTATGATAGGGGTAGTGTTGCACTCCTGTTGGTAGAGGGTTGCTGCATGATCATTTGCATGTTAGTATGCAGTAATAAGTGGGAGTAACAAGGCTAGTGGTGAATGAAAATGTGCACCAGTAGAGAGCAATACAAGTTGAGAAAGGTTTTTGTGAAATAAGGTATCTATTAGAAATACATTTTCAGTTTAGGATTTTGATTTTCTGCTTATAGGCTATCTCAGGTGTTAATTTTAAGCTATCCAAGTCAGCAAATTAGCCAATCAGAAAAATGTTTTTTGTGTACAAAGAAATGAAATAAAGAAGCCACTATCATACAGACAGACCAATGATGCCATTTCTTGCAGCTGATATCTTCAGTGTGTTGAAATTATGAAAGAATTGAGGACATTCATAGCAAAGGGTAATAGTCATAGAAGGTTTGCTACCAAAGAAAAGCTAATTGAGGCAGGAAAACATGGTACTGTAATTAACAGTAAGCTGTCAGAACTTAAACATCAGTAGTAATGTTTGATATATATATATATATATATATATATATATATATACTTGTTAACATTTCATACATTATATGGCTGAGAAAACAGAATAACTTATAGGTAATTTGACAATGTAAAATGCTTAAGAATTTAAAATAACTCTTGTTAAACTGCAATCTGCCTTTTACTTGATCTGTCTGAAGATGTATAAATGTATTCCAATGGCCAAAATAAGTCAGGAAACTTTGAGTATGTAACATAGAAAAGTCATGAAATTTCTCTTTTCAAAATGGTGTATGAACTCTGTTCTTATCACTGGGGTGGTGGACCATTGAGGCTTCCTCCTGCATGTGACAAATTCCACTCAGTCGAGAGTAGGGTGGTAGTGTTCTGTTGGTGAGTACTCTCTTTCTACTGTGTACCAGAAGACAAACACCTGATGCTACCTGGTTTTGAATTGGACAAATCCATCTCCTGCAGATTACCCCTCTGGCTGGCTTTCCCTAATTCTACTGCTGCCTGGATGTCATGAACCAATTGGATATTTTTTGAGGGAATTTTACAATTGCTTCAGTATTTTTCATGTTCAAGAGCTAAGAAAGAACCTATAGAAATTTAAGCATTCTGAGTGTAATACACACACATGTAGAAATAGCATAAGTAAGGATACCTTTAAGTCGAAAACTAGGTGAAGCCTAGTTAACGGGTTACTTAGCATTGAGAATCACGAGTTGAGAGTTATAAAAAAATGTAGCTACAGCAAGGATGCTGAGAAAAATGCTAGTCATGAGTTTGACAGTGATAAGTTACTGATGCCGAGTTAGTAGCACTGTAGAAACTACTAAAACGTTTATGATAGCATCTCAAGTCAGTGCTTTGATGTGAGATTTATTACTCCAGACCAGTGTAGTAGTACAAGTAAAAATGCAACTGGAGCACTCACCATCACAGTAACCAATTACTTGAGAACTTTTGTTTTTGATTAGCCCAGGAAGTTGCACAGACTGACCAATAAAGTGTTAGAACTACTTGCGGGTAGCTAGGAATACTATTTGGAAGGTCGAAAAAGTACAAAGAAAATATGGTTTAAAAACTCATGTTTGGAGCTAAAAATCAGTGATCTTCATAAAGAAGAATCAAAGTTTCAAGCCACCATGAATATGAAGATTTCCAACGTCCAGAAATATACCAGTTCAACTAAGTATAGAATTGCTATCTCTCTTGTTCAATTAATGTAGTTTATTATAGGAAGTTAATGCTTATACTAGAGAAAAATATTCTATATGTATTGGTTAATAGTGTTTAGTGAAAAGTAAAGTTGTGAGAAACTAACGGTTTAGTAAATGTTTAACTATTGATGTTAACAGTGTATACTATGTAGAAAGACCTAATTAATGTTATATTTTGTTCAGTGTTAGTCTGGGATTCTGTTTCTTTATTCTAGCTGTAAATTACCTTGAGTTAGCATCTTGTGAGCTCCACTCGCCACTGCAATCCTCAACTAAATAAATTTGGTGTAATCGGCAGTATAACTGAAACTCCAACAATTAGACCCAAGGGTATTGCCCATTATAGTCAGTTCCTGGGCAATCTGGTGTTCGATCAGTGTATGGCCAACCAACAAAAGTTTTTACACATGTGGTTGGTAGGGGCCTTCTTCCTACTGTGGAATGGACGAAAAATTACCAATGATGCCTGGTTTTGGACTGGAGTTGGCCCACCATATTTCTTATTCCACTTCTAACTGTTACCCGGATGTTAGGTTCTCGGGTGGCCTGGTGTTGGTTGTGTAATGGGTCTACACACATGTCCTTCCTGGGTTGTTGGAACAGGAGTTGTTTTTCCTTCTGTTTCCTGGTCTTGAAATGAAAACTGTTGGGACCTTCCTCCTACCATGTTACAGAAGACAAATACCCAATGCCACATTGTTTGGACTGGAGGTGACCCATTGAATATGGTATGATGCACCCTAGCCACTCCATACCATCTAGTGCATCCAATCACAAATTAGATGTGCATATTTTCTGCCCAACTTAGCAAAACATATCTTTACAATGGGCAAGGAGTACACCTGATACAGGTGGGGTGGAGTGTCCCACGAGTGACTCCAGACATTAATGTATTACATTCCATGGGTTCTCTTCAGTCACCTTCTGAAGAGTGCTCATCTGGGTAAATTTTGCACTGATCTGTCCCCCTTTTCAATGTGAGATTCTAAATATTATGTGACCAAAGATAAGGTATCGTATAGGAAGTTAACAGTTTCCTACACTGAAAATGTATTTCAAATAAATACTTACCTCCTCTCACACTTCCCACCCATCCTCCCCCCTTCTGATGCATCCTTTTGCCTAATCTCAAAGTGATGCTATTGCTCTAAAGTATAGAGGGAGGCAACAGCACCAAGAGGATTTGTCATACTCTTCTTGGTCGAGGGTTGTCAAATGCTTATTTGCATGCTAAGTGCAGCTATACCACATGTAATCACATGAGGGTGTGTGAGAACATCAAGGCTAGTGGCGAGTGAAAATTGTGCCTTTAGAGAAAAGCACAAGTTGAGAAAAGCCATTAAGTGAGAGGGAGTGAGTATCTATCAGAAATACATTTTCAGTGTAGGAAAATGTTAACTTTTGAATATTTCCTTTTCTTTGCTTGGCTACTGCTCTGTTCAAGTCTGATACAAATCAAACAGATAATATTTGTAATTACAATGGAAATATATACATAAGAAGTAAACAATTTGAACATACAATTATAGCATGAGAAAATATGTGGCACAGATGAAATAGTTAAAATAAGTTTAAATCAAGTGAAGACTGTATAATTTAGGGAAGGATCCGAGTTTTTATGTAGACTGTAGGGCATCCTGTGTTGGTGAAACTAAACGTCACCTTAAAGTAAGAGCATTTGCACAAATGGGTAGTCTATTAAAACTGGAAGGAAGGTTACAAACCCTCCCAACTCTGCTATCTATCAGCACAATACAGAAACAGGTCATCCGATTTCTCTCTCCAACTTTAAAATTCTCTCAACATCCAAACATGATACTGAACTTCTTATAAAAGAAATATTATACATAAAAACTCTCCTTCCATCCCTAAATAATACACAGTCTTCATTTGATTTAAACATTTTAACTATTTTGTCTGTTCCACATTTTCATTTTCTCATGTATATATTCAAATTGTTTACGTCTTATGTATATATATTTTCGTTGTAAATACAAATATTGTTTGTTTGTTTTGTACTTCTAGATTACTGATGATGGAATTATGATGATTCCAAATGCTTCCTATTATCACACTCCTGTTTTACTTTATCATTAAGTTACATTTACCGAAAAATGAATTGATCATTTCAGCCTCTGTGGTACTTTGCTCCAATTTCATAAATTGGTGCTTACCAAATATAATATTAGTACATTTTAAGATGTTTCTGTAACTAGGTTTAACACTTGTGTTCTTCCTTAGATTTGAGGCTGTTGAAATGTTAGCTTCACATATATTACAAATTTCAATTTGTTTTCTTTTAAAAGTTTTTCATTCATTTTATTTTTTTACAGGTGGATGTACTTGAGAGCAATTTCACCCAATTAGAAGATAAAGTTAGGACAGTCCAAGATTTTGAAGCCATTCAACTGGCTCATGAAAATTTTTTGACATCAGTCTTTTCTCAAAGTTTCCTTTTGCTTAAACCAGTAAGTCACACTCATTTCTTATTTATCAATATTATAAAACAAGTAAAAACTTTACACAAAAGAATTATATAAATGAACCCTCAGATCATAATGAAATTTTATTAAATATTAACCTCCCCATGTTAGGATAGCAATTAGCACGTTTTGTAGTATTTTAAGTTTCCCAATTTAAAATGTAATCTAACATTACCTGAAACATGAGACTGTTTGATAAATCTTCTGTATATGCAATGAAACTATAAAAAATAAACATAATAATATTGTCTATTTGGGGGAAAAAAAGCCCCTTAAAATATTTTAAGTTAGATTTTATTTTTCTTTGTAGGTGTATCAGTGTCTTATGGAAATAGTGGAACTATGTCTTTCCTTATGCATGTTAGTGACCAACAATCATGGACAAATGTCCTCTCAGGAATTTTTGCACTTGAATGACCTAACACTGGTGAGCTTTTGGATTGTTCAAAGTGTCTTTCCAAAATGTAATATGCAGTACTCTAGTTCTTATTCTTATCAGGTTTATATTCTGTTACACTTGTAGAGAACAATGTAGTGGTGAAGTATTGCATGGCATGTCTACAAATGTGCAGAACTCACATTTGTAGATTTATTAAGAACATGTTCTTCAATATTTGTAGAGAACCACATATTGGTGGAAGTATTGCATGGCATGTGTATACGAGATGTTAAGTATAATACTCAGGTTCTTAGATTCAATACTAGTATGTTCTTTTATACTAGTAGAAAACCATCTAGTAGTGAATGGCATGTCTGTACAAAATGTAAAATACAGTAGATAGCTTCTTAGACATTGTATGTTATTTTATATTTGTAGAGAACCACCTTGTAAAGAAGTACAGCATGGCATGTCTCAACAAAATGTGCAGTACTCAGTGTTGTAGATTTACAGGGAAATCCACCTAGTAATGGAAGTATTGCATGGCATGTTTCTTTGAAATGTAAAATGCAATTTGCTAGTTCTTAAATTTATTAGGTATATGTTCTGTTATACTTGTAGACACCCACCTAGTGGTGAATTATTGCATGGCATGTCTTTTAAAAATGTAATGTGCAGTACCCAAGTTCTCAGATTTATTAGGTGTATGTTGTTTTTTTATACTTGTAGAGAACCACATAGTGATGAAGTATTGCATGGAATGTCTATAAAATGTGAAGTTCAATACTCTAGTTGTTAGATTTACTAAGTGTAAGTTCTTTTATACTTCTAGAAAACCACATAATGGTGAAGTATTCCATGGCATGTCTCTACAAAATGTGCAGTACTAAGCTCTTAGATTTCCTAGGTGTGTATGTTCTTTTATACGTGAAGAGAACCACCTGGTAGTGAAATATTGCCTGGCATATCTCTACAGAATGTAATATGCAATAGTCAGGTTCTTAGATTTAATTGGTATGTGTTCTGTTATACTTATAGTGAACTTCCTAATGGCGCAGTATTGCATGGCATGCCTACAAAATGAAAAGTACAATACTTAGGTTTTTAGATGTACTGACTGTACGTTCTTTTATACTTGAAGAGAACTATGTGTTGGTGAAGTATTGCATGGCATGTCTACAAAATGTGATGTCCTAAAGTTCCTAGATTTACAAGGAGTATGTTCTTTTATACTTGTATAGAACCATCTAGTGGTGAAGTATTATGTGACACATCTCTACAAAATGTTAAGTAATCAAGTTTTTAGATTTAATAGTAGTATGTTCCTTTATACATGTAGAGAACCACCTATTAGAGAAGTATTGCATGGCATGTCTACAAAATGTCATATTGCCATCATAATAAATAACTCTGTGATAGTTCAGCTGGTGATGCAATATTCTGGTAATTGCAAAAGTAGAGCCAAATCTATATTGGTGAAATCCAGAAATATCACTTGTCTTCAGATTGTAAACTTGTTGAAATTTCTGAATATTAATATAGTGTTTCTTTGCATTTTATTTGATTTAATATATGCATGATTAACTTCTAAATGTTGAGTAATATTACTTTTCTGTATTGCAGAACTTTAAGCGCCACACATCTCTTCTGTTTCGGATTCTGTCTAGTGTACGAAGCCACCAAGCCAGCCCTCATCTAGCCCAGTTGTTGCTTAGAATTGACTATAACAAATACTTCACTCGCTGTGGAGGTCAATTGGGAGGGTAACTTTCGTTAATTATTTAAGATAAAGTTAAATGAGTACTGTCTTATAACAAAAAGTTTAATTTAAGAAACAAAGTTTGTGTGAACTCAATTCAATGAGAATTTTTGTTTCCTTTGTTCTTTAATTTACCTGAAAGTGAGGAAAAAAAATAATAAAGGACAGAGCCACTGCTTCACTGGTTTTTGGTGGGAATTGGATTATAATCTTTTCACATTTCCCCTGATCAGGTAGTTCATAGCATTGTACAAAATTTTGTGAAGATATGATTTTGTTACATTTCAAATACTATGTTATCTTTTGGGAACAATGGATTAGATTGGTAATATAATTTTTTTAGCTTTGGGACTTAAACTTTGGATATGTTAAAAAATATTTTTATCAGCTTTGCTTTACCTTTAAAATTAATAACAAATGGGTTAGGTTAGATTGGGAAGGGTACTTGTTATTTTATGGAAACTTTAAAAGTTCTAGCTATATTTTTAAATTACTTGAGTGAATGATAGCACAGTAATAAGGCTGATGCTAGCTATCATAGAAACCTGAATAAGTTTGAAACATGCTTAGCTACCAAAGTTTTCAACCTCCTTCTCTCGTGTTTAAAAATCAAATTACCAATAAATAAAGCAAAATTAATAATAGTGTTAGACTGATTACTTAATTAATCATAATTTCTTAATGCTAATTACCATGTACCTTAAACAATATTAAGTTATTACATATATGTTTATATCTTTCCTTGTATGTTTTGAGATGACATCAAAAATTATGTGGAAAATGGTAATCAGCTATTTAAGTTATCTAAACTTAATTTTTTGTAGCAGTAACTGTTAGAATACCAGCTAATTGCAAAATTCTATTGAAAATTCATTGGAGGTTATTTCTAAATTACAGTTATTATATTAGCTTAAGTTCTACTTATATGTAATATATATATATATATACACCTAGGAAAAAAGTTAAGCACCCCCGTGTTTTTTTCAAGTGATTCAGATTTGACGTTCTTGTGACTGATTATAAATTACCATTCAATCTAAACGTGTTTATCAAATGAAATTATGCATTATTGGGCACAAGAAAACAAGATTATCACCGTAAAATAACAATTTTTAA